AGTGGTTTTGGCTCCTATAACCAAGTAGAATATCGTATCAGTAATCGACTGGTACGCGTCGTAGTCGCAGGTAAGAAGTATAGATCAATGGTGTAGTCCAATGAGCGTCAATATAGACTTAGCTCTCAAACTAAGGCTCTGACTCTCGTACGTACAAGTCCGTCGGGATTTATGACGGACACCAGCCAATCATATTCCAGTGAGGGGGAACACAGGTGTACGCATGTTCTATTATATCAAGAACTAATATTTCTTATTGGTTTTTTTTTTATCAAGGGTCTGTAGATAACAGGAACACCAGATCATATGTGGCAACAATATTCTAAGCATAGACAAATGGTAGATTTTTATAGATACGTAAGAGAGATTCAGTCTAGCATGACAGAGTGAACCAACTGAACCATGGGTATATAGTAACTGAACAAGCAATATTGTGTTTGTACTTCATGTTACCTGAGAACGTTAGCCTCAGAAGGCACAAGGAGTCGCTCTCCTGAAGGTTAGCATCAGCTAAGGCAGAAAGTGCTTTCACAAATGACTAATAGAGAGCAATTTAGTTTTAGGTACGTTAAAATTAACAAGCCACCATTGGCTCTACTTAATAACAAACTGAAGGTTGTTTTTGACATGAACTACCGATTTGAAGTTTTCGGTCTGACCACACTTACTATCGAGACAGGAGTAAGTGTTTGTATCATCAGCATGTATACCAAGTTGAGAGCTGATGTCATCGAGTAGGATCAAAGATAGAGCCCTGGGGGGGGGCGGGAATGTGCATTAGAAGAAAATATCTAAAAGATTTACCGTTCGGGGTAACTTTCATTTCACGATTTGTTAAGAAAGACTAGATCACTTCAAAAAACTTGGTCCGGCGACACCGTAACATTTCAGCCTGTGAAGAAGACAAGTATGTCAAACCCTGTTGAAAGCTTTCAAGATGTCCAAAGCCCGATTTTTAGCAATCTTATCTACTGCTTTCTAGTCAATTTCCGCATTATCATCAGTACATTGTCAGCTGACCTAGAGAAACGAAAGCCATATTGCGATGTGAGATGTTTAACTCGTTCAGCATTGATTAAGGATTAAAGAGGCTATGAGATTAAATGTCGTTAGGGTAAGATGGTTCACCTGAGTTCTTAAAAACTAGAACAAATGACGATTTCCAACATGTATGAAAGCAAGAGGCAGTGAGCCATTCATTACAGAGTTTAAAAAGGAAAGTAACCAGTTCTTGAGTACACTTCTTAACCCTAGAACACTAACCATCAATTAAAGTTACAAAACTACCAACCATGGGTATATCATACCCGATTTTGAAAATATATATATATATATATATATATATATATATATATATAACATATTATTTACTTAAGAAAATCAGGTACTGAAAATCGTAATTAAAAATAGGAAAATCTGCGCTGGGTACTATATACCCATGGTTAGTATTTTAGGGCTAAGGACTATTACAGGGATATCAACATGTCCCCATACTTTGTGGGGTTCTAGATTAGTGATGATAGCAGAAACCATAGAAGGGGTTATATGCATATCACTTAGGAGATACTTAGTTCTAAGGGGGAAGTTAGACAAGGATACGCCAGATAAGTCAAGAGTTTAAGGCGAATTTACGCGCGAAATATTCAGCTTTATCAGCGGAAGTTGTTAACGTCTCATCTTTATTAAAGTGATGTGAAATAGAAAACTTAGTATTATTTATTACACTATAACAGAGCCGTCAGTAATCACAAGAGCTAAAGTTGTTAGGTATAATACAGTACCTCATTCTCTCAGCAAACTTAGCTCTTTCGAGGGCACGTTTACATTTATTACGAGAAGGCACGAATAGGCGTCTGGGAACTGTCACGCCGGTATAGCCGGAAATAGTGAATCCTGTTAGATGTAGCATCAGAACATGTTGCTGTTAACCGTGGAGAAAATTCAGATTTCATCTGGTATTTTCTTTTAAGCAAATTACACAAAAAGCAAGGCGGGAAGCGATTAGCACGTAAGGGATTACAGAGAGTTGGAGTGAGAGCATATAGGAGTGATAGAGGAAAGGATGAAGAGAAGTTTAGGGGATCGATCAGCGCATCTGGAGACGTCGATTGACATTACATTTGAATAGATGGAGATTATAGCTATCGGGAAAACGAGAAATGGGGAGGGTGTTCCACAGGCGAGAATTTCGAGATATTGGAGTAGCAGAGATGGAATGAAAGTATCTATGCCGGCTTGGACCAAAGAGGAATCCAAAGTAGTCCAATTCTCACTACTTTTAATAAAACCTTTGTTTTTATTAAAATTCGGGCATATTTTTATCAGGTATGCTCATTTTTGTAGGTAAATACAGACAAAAGATTACGTATATATGATAAGATAAAGAAAACGTTAATCCATGTAACATGTTTCGCTTTAAGTAATGCTTCATGAAAGAATAAAATATAGAGACAAAAGAATAAATAAACTCTGGTCTTTTTATTTTGTATAGTTTGATTTGCATAGGTTAAACATGTTTCATACGCGTTCGACTTATTAAACAAACATTAATTTTTGATGTTCCGAATTCAAGAAGAGACGACACGTCTATTCGGAGTTCCATGCCTTACTCATCTATATACTGAGTATATATATATATATATATATATATATATATATATATATATATATATATATATATATATTTATAATAAATATATATATATATATATATATATATATATATATATATATATATATATATATATATATATTATGTGTATTTAGGCAGCATTTTTTCATTCATACATGTTTCATTAAATAATATAGACAAGTGTTGTCTATTTATTTTATGTAAATTCTTTTCATATCGCCTGATAAGCTTAATAACATTATCATTAAACGAAGAAAGAAAATCACAACATTAATACATATTTTTTATATGTATCAATATTGTGATTTTGTTTATCTACAAACTATCAAAATTCCTGAACGACATCATCACTCCATACCTACCTACCAATTACAGCATCACATCCACCCACGAATTCCTGCAAATTTTAAAAACTACAAACCCCCCCCCAAAAAAAAACAAAACAAAAACAAACCAAGGTGTAATAGCGTTACTTGACGTCGAAAGCTTATTTACAAACGTCCCTGTCGTCCAAACTATTGATATTATCCTCAATTCTGTATACAATAATAATTCCATCCCGCCGCCATCAATCAAACCATCCACCCTAACAAAAATTACTACACGCATGCACAACCAAAGTCCCATTCTATGACCATAATGGAAATATTTATACCCAAACTAATGGTGTTAGTATGGGAAATCCACTCGGTCCATGCGTTTCCAATTATTACATGTCCTACGTAGAAAATACGATATTTACACAGGTCCGCAAAACGAAAATCTATGCTCGCTACGTAGACGAGATTTTTGTTTTAGCTGATAACATTAAAGAAATAGAGACACTTAAGACCACATTTGAGAAAAATTCCGTCCTTAATTTTACATATGAACTTAGCCAAAAAAACAAATTTCCATTCTTAGATGTCCTCGTTGAATACAGAAACAACACTTTCATTACATCATTATACAAAAAACACACCAACAAAAACTCGTGCCACCTTAACTTCAGAAGCGAATGTCCACTTAGGTACAAAATAGCAGTAATAAAAAAACTTTCTAAATAGAGCACACCAGAACTCATCTTCTCGACTACTCTTCCTCAAAGAATTTAATAACGTTAAACAAACACTAATCAACAACGGCTTCCCTAACTACCTTATAGACCACCAAATTAGACTATTTCTCCCCAAATCAAGTAATGACGATAGCGAACACACAGCCAAAAATCACATACACATTTATTATAAAAACCAAATGCATATTAATTACAAACAAGACGAATCTTCTCTAAGACATATTATAAAGAAATATACTACTCCTAATGATTCGAATAAAAAAATCAACTTATTATCTATTATAAAAAATTTAAGACAGCCAACCTTATCCTCAAAAATAACAACACACCAACTAAGTCAAAATTACAAAGAATGAACATTATCTATAAGTTCAAATGCCCTTTAAGGAACTGCGTTCCTGATTAAACCGGACTCATAAATAATTACATCGGTTACACAACTACATACTTATCCAGACGTCTTACGTTACACCTATCTGATCACAGCTCCATTAGAAACCAGTTAAACACACGCACACAAATTTACCAGACTCCATTAGAAACATACTAGTAGAAAACACAAATATATTAACTGCATCTACCTGCAAAAAAAAAAAGACTAAAAATAATGGAAGCTTTAATAATAAAAAAGAAAACGCCAACTCTTAACAATATTAAATCCGAACAAAGTCACAATGTGCTAACCGTATTCGGAAATTAAAAACATCTCTACAGCACACTAAGACATACACATAACGCACATAATTAAGCTGAAAAATCGAATCATCCTTGATAATGGCTAAAGGTATAACCGAAATCGCCCGGAAATATAAAACATTTGGACAGTTCTTACACACCCTTTGTCCAAAAAAGAAAGCACTTGTCAGAACACAAGAAAAATTAAATAAAAAACTTGTCTGTCGTTTTTAATGAAACATGCATATATATATACATATGTATATATATCTATATCTATCTCTTTCTCTCTCTCGCTATCTCTCTCTCTCTCTCTTTCTCTCTCTTTCTCTCTCTCTCTCTCTCTCTATATATATATATATATATATATATATATATGTAGGTAGGTAGGTGGTTTGGTAGGTACATGGCTACCGAATTTGAGTACAAACCACTTTACCCTTTTTTTAACATCTTCAGAACAAAGTCTGTTTATACGTAGGAAATGTAACAAGGCGGAACCGCCTCTCTGTTCTGACGTCTTTTTTTTCTTATGTGAAGTCATAGAAAAAGAACTAGCACAATGGGGGAAAAGCCAAAATACAGATATGCCCATGTAAATATGTATTTTAATACTGTCGAAAATAAAGTGAATTTATGTTTGAACTATACTATTTGACACCATATTACTCACACGCATATCTATCTATCTATCTATCTATCTATCATGTCCATTTCTTTTCTATCATGTCCATTTCTTTTCTCTCTATCTATCTATCTCTATCTATCTATCTATCTATCTATCTATCCGTACATGAATACATACATACATAATGCATGTGCGTAGTGTGTGCGTGTGTAAGATTAATTAAATATTATCTTGAAAGAGACTTCTTTAAAACCAGATACAAAGATTAATCCCAGTGTCGTCATTTCTTGTAGATAATCTAAACTACATTTTCATTAAAGCCATACCAATGTTAGAAAGTTTTTAATAATATCAATAAGATAGATTTGTCCAGACAAGTTCGCAGCTACGGTGGACGCAAATATCCATAGTTACTGTTTTTGATCCTATCTATCTATCTATCTATCTATCTATCTATCTATCTATCTATCTATCTATCTTCATTTTTCACCTATCTATCTATCTATCTACCTATCTATCTATCTATCTATCTATCTATCTATCTATCTTCATTCTTTACCTACCTATTAATATATCTCATTATCTTCATTCATTATCTATCTATCTATCTATCTATCTATCTATCTATCTATCTATCTATCTTCATTCTTTACCTACCTATAAATATATCTCATTATCTTCATTCATTATCTATCTATCTATCTATCTATCTATCTATCTATCTATCTTCATTCTTTACCTACCTATAAATATATCTCATTATCTTCATTCATTATCTATCTATCTATCTATCTATCTATCTATCTATCTATCTATCTATCATATATTTCGGAACCGGAAAACCAAATGCTAAACAGGGAACTAACGATAACATTATACTCGTGTTCAAAAAAGTCTGGAGGAGTGTAACCGGACGATTTGTGGACCTATCTATTCCTAGCGAAAAGAGAAAAAAATAGTAAATACATTTAATGTATTTAGGCGGAGACGTTAGAAATCTAAAAGTTAAGTTGACATTAAGAGGAACCGGAAAGCCAATTATAAACAAGCAACAACGGATGAAACTCATGTTCAAAAAACCCAGAGAAGTGTTGAACGGGACAATTGGCGAAGCAATCTATTCCCATTGAGAAGAGAAAAAATGAGTAAAAAACTTTTAGTGAGATCAGACGGATATGTTAGAAGGAAGAGGAATGTCAATCCTATACAGGGAACAAATCATAAACCTCAAGTCCTGTCCAATAGACCGGGGAGGAGGTTGAACCGGATGATATGTGAACCTATATACCCCTAATGAGGAGAAAAATAAATAAATAAATAGTGAATACAGTTTCAGAGTTCTAGCGAAGACGTTAGAAGTATAGAGTTGAAGTAGACATTAGAAGGAAAAGGAAACCTAATCCTCTATTGAGAATACTGAGATAAACCCCGATAATGAGGTGAAAGAACCGGGTGATAGGTGAAACTATCTAATCCACCATTTGAACTTCGTTCTTTTGGAACTGTACGATGTTTTGCTTTACAGTGAGCTTTGATCAAGAAAAATTTACATTCAATTTAATTTTTCTCTTCTGTCTTCCTAAATATTATTCTATTGCTCTTCCTCTTTAATAATATTTTCCTTTTTATCATATTATTTCGAACTTTTTCCCCTGAGGCGTAGTGGCTTTATTTCATTGCTTCAGTTGAAATGATTAAAAAAAAATCAACTCAGTTGAACCGAGCACTTTTCAGCAGACTCTTGTCTCTTTTTCCATCTATGAACTGGTATAAAGATAGTGAAAGCTCACAAAGCCCTTGGAAAGGAGTTTGAAGTGATAGTGACATAAGAAAAGACCAAAAATGTGTATTATACATCCCTTTCTATTCCTCCGCGACTTGGACCACATACTGCTGCCACTTAAACTCTGGAGAGATTCCATTAAAAATGTCTTTGAGCATCAAGTGGCAATCCTTGCCATTTGACTGTTCTTCTTCAACCGGCCAATACAACAAGTTTTGAAAAGCACCTCATCCGTAAACAAATGAACAGGACAGCGTACGAGAATAGGAAACGACAAATTACCCAAGCAGTTAATATACGGTCAGTTAACACGAGATTTTACCAGGTAAGTACCCAAAACACGAACCAAATAGTAAAGCCTTATGAATGTTGTCATAACCAATATCTTGGTATTGCGTCTGTGAGCTGGAGAACATTGGGAGAAAATCGATCCGTTTTATGGAAAATAATAAGCGACAGCTGTAAGGCATACGATAAGATGGTTCATCATGCAATCTTGAAACGGATTCTTACAAAACGGGGAATTGATCACAATCTCAGTTAAACTTCAACCTGATCATTTATGCAATATCTTTGTTAGGGTCTTCTTATCCAAATTAGGACGTGCTAATCATCTAAGTTAATATGATAGGAAACAGTTCGAAGCGGAATATGCTGACGTCCACTGTAAACAAATTACAGGAGAATTATAACATTTCTGTGACATGTAGTATGTAAGTCAGCAGCAGATCTGATGCGGAACAGGTGAGCTCATGTGAACTAGATAAAATCAAAGAAGATGCACGAGACGTTTGTGTGTGATATATGAAGGAAATCCTGCAGAAATGAAGTGGCCATTTTGAGTTTTCCACACTGTCACTGAATCCAAAATTAAATTGAATTGATTTCTGTCAACTAACAGAAATTATTAACTCACTATCGCTGTCTCCGTACTTGACTCTCTGCCCTCTCTCTCTTCCTTTTGCTCTCCCCCCCTCTCTCTCTCTCTCTCTCTATATATATATATATATATATATATATAGTGTTCAAAATTGTGATTAGACTGCCCGAAGTCCATATTGTGGTATTATTTCGGTTGCTTCAGTCATTTTCAAGGCCTTATCAAAAGAATACTAACCACACATATGTTTTAGAGACAACGTCTATCAGATAGATAGATAGATAGATAGATAGATATGAA